TTTTATTACCCATGAAAAGATGACGTGGTAGTGATCCACAGCAAACGATACTTAGGATGTCAATTTATGCAACTTATTATAAATATTAATATGATGGCCCGACGTGGCCAGGTGGTTAAGGCACTCGACTCGCAATCTGAGGGTCGCGGGTTCGTAATCCCCGTCACCACCAAACATGCTCGCCCTTTCAGCCGTGGGGGCGTTATAATGTGACGGTCAATCCCACTATTCGTTGGTAAAAGAGTAGCCCAAGAGTTGGCGGTGGGTGGTGATGACTAGCTGCCTTCCCTCTAGTCTTACATTGCTAAATTAGGGACGGCTAACACAGATAGCCCTCGTGTAGCTTTGCGCGAAATTCAAAAACAAACAATAAATAAACACCCTGGTTGCTTACTTTTGACGTGTTCGGCGTCAAACACGTAAGCATAATAACATTCATAAATAATTATTTATATTATTGCTTATTGGTAATTCTTGCCTCGTTATTTCCGAGTCATCTTCAGAAAAAATGTCACCTACTTTTACTTTGGTTTATTTCCAAAACGTCCTACGTTCAGTTGTTTTATGATTTTTTTAGAAGAAGCGTTTCTTTGAACAGAACTTTCACCTATACAAAAAAAAACGGTTTTCTAACAAAAAATAATCCGTAATTAAACTCGAAAATTGATTTTTGGTGATATATATATATTAATAATATATCACCAAGAAGAGAATGAACATTATAATATATCATCATAAATGTGATAAAATCTTGCTAGTATATCACCAAGGACTGAATACACACAGATGTGATATATCGCCAACGAAGGAATGCACATAAATGTGATAAACGTCTATCCAACTGTTATAGTTTGGCTGTTAATTATTAAGCTTGAGCAAGAACAGAATTTTGAGCTAGAAAATACGACTGTTACGTTTCAGAAACATGCTACATTTACAGCTGCATTTTGATCTTGAGCTTAATGAAACTACATAAAATATATATTGACGAAAATGTTTTCCTCGCTATTTTGATTAGAAGATTTGAATACATTGATTTGTTTTGAACGAGTTTCTTAATATGAAGAGCAGGCGTTAACTGTAGAAGCATATCACGTATGCATGCTGTCATTATGTCTCCGCAGATAGACACGTTGTTGTTTCTTCGTCTTTATTTCTTCTTTTTCCAAACACTTTTCAATCGACCGCCATTCTTTCATTTCACGGCGGATTGATTTGAAAGTTGGTAAGGTTATATCTTGGTCCACTACGCCTAAACACCTTTTTTACTTTATTTTGGTTTTAGGCCCTTTTAAAGATTTTATAGGGTCAAAAGTTAACTCAAAAATGTATATTTGTGCTCCTGTACGATCATATTTACAGCAATCAAATTGAAAATTGGCACAACTATAAATTTTCATGCGCCCAACACATTGACATAAAAATTTGATGTACGCATTTTGGTTCTTTTTTAAGGGGGGTCAGGACTCAAACAAAGCATATTTTTGGGAGTTTTGGTCCAATACTCGACCACATTTTGACCAATTTAGTTGGGATTTAGTACAAAGATACTTTTTTACAGGTCCCACGAATTGATAAACAAATATGGTGGACTTGCCTATTTTTAGAAATTAGTGGGTGGGGGCAAACTGCCACAAAAAGCATAATTGTAGGGTTTTTTTTACAATTACTCTGCCGTATTTCGAACAATTAACATAACATTTATTATAAAGGTACTTTTTTGCAGTTCCCATAGATATACACACAAAACTGTGGGATACGCCCATTTTGGCCATTTTAGGGAGGTAAAAAAATAAACCCATAATTTTAGGGGTTGTGGTAAATTACTTATCCATATTTATGTATGATTTAGCACAAAGATACTCTTTGAGGGTGCCAAACAGAGATACAGACAATTTTGGTATTTTAATCTTTTGCTCAATTTTTCAGCGAAGAGAGCACAGTTTGGGGTTTTCGTGAACTATTCATGTGTATGTCAACCAGTTTACACTGGATATGGTGCAAAGATACTTTCTTGCATGTCCCAAGCAGTGTTATAGACAGTTTCCAATATTCTGTGTTTTTCAAGATTTTTATGGTGTCAGAATTAGTCATGTTGGCCCGGTATGGCCAGGTGGTTAGGGCGCTCGACTTGCAATCTGAGGGTCGCGGGTTCGAATTCCCGTCCCACCAAACATGGTCGCCCTTTAAGCCGTGGGGGCGTTATAATGTGACGGTCAATCCCACTATTCGTTGGTAAAAGAGTAGCCCAAGAGTTGGCGGTGGGTGGTGATGACTAGCTACCTTCTCTCTAGTCTTACACTGCTAAATTAGGGACGGCTAGCGCATATAGCCCTCGTGTAGCTTTACGCGAAGTTCAAAAACAAACAAACAAACAATTAGCCATGTTGGGATAGCGTGGCGGAGACATGTTGCATTCGCTCGCGAATTTTGGCCCCTTTTAATTTTATATTTAGTAAAGTATAAAAATTCCAAATATCAATGTTTTTGCTTTATATGAAATGTCACTTTGAGATAGTGAATCAGTTTTCCTGTTTATATAAGATGTCACTTTTGGAGTACTGATTCTTCTCTCTTCTTTATATGAAATGGCATTTCAGTGCAGTGGTTTTGTTGTTTCTTGCTCTATGTAAGATGGCAATTCAGAGCAATGGTTCTGTTTCTGCTTCATACGAAATATCTCTTTAGAGTGGGGATCAATAGATTCCTCTTCTGAGCAGTGATTTTGTTTTGCACCTTACCTGAAACGTCTTTTCAGAGAAGTGACTTTGTTTTTCCCTTTTATTTGAGATATCACCTTGAAATAACGATTCTGTTTTTCGCTTTATTGATATTTTATTTTAGAGCAATCATTCTAGTTTCTACTCTATATGTGATGTTACTTCAGATCATCGATTCTAGTTTCTACTCAATATGTGATGTTACTTCAGATCATCGATTCTAGTTTCTACTCTATATGTGATGTTACTTCAGATCATCGATTCTAGTTTCTACTCTATATGTGATGTTACTTCAGATCATCGATTCTAGTTTCTACTCTATATGTGATGTTACTTCAGATCATCGATTCTACTTTCTACTCTATATGTGATGTTACTTCAGATCATCGATTCTAGTTTCTACTCTATATGTGATGTTACTTCAGATCATCGATTCTAGTTTCTACTTTTATATGTGATGTTACTTCACAGCAGTGATTCTGTTCTCTACTTTGTATGAGATGTTATTTCAGAATAGTGATTCTGTTTTCCTCTTTATTTGAGATGTCATTCAAAAGAATCACTCACTTTACGGCTTTGTAGAAAATGTCGCTTCAGAGCAGTAATTCTGTTTTCTGTTTTATATGAGATGCCACTAAGATTAATGGTTCTGTTTTCCGCTTTGTAAGAGATTCCATTAAGGTTAATTATTATGTTTTCTGCTTTATATGAGATGTCATTCAGCGTAGACATTCTGCTTACCGCTTTGCAGTGAGATGTCACTTACGATTCATGGTTCTGTTTTATAAGAGATACCACTATGAATAATGATTATAATTATGTTTTTTTTTGATACAAGATGCCACATCGGGATAGTAATCCTTTTGTACCGTTTTATAAGTAAGTTTCAGAAGCAGAACGGTGTGGACAAGACCTCATTCAAGGCATTTTGGTGAACTGTGCCGCGGTCGCATGAATTGAAATTGCACCGGAAACATTTAAAAGTAATTAAACTCTTGGTTATTTACGTTATCATTGAAAATTTATACTTGAAGAAGCTAAGTAACAACAGCTTGTTTTTAACAATGTTATAATTTTAAATGATATTTACTCAAATAACGAAATAATTATGATGTTGTAGTATAAGTTTAAATAAATAAACTATGTGCTGATTCCGATATGAAAAACTAATTGCAAGATGTCTTACAAATATCTTGTATCATTCTCAAGTTTCACTTCATCTTTCTTCCAAGCAAACTGAATAGGTAGGTCTCCTCTAGCAGCAACTCTTAACACTACTCTGTCTTCTTTTTTGGCGGCATGGGACTTAAACTTAATGTCGAACCTTGGTTTGTCTGTGTGAAAGGATAATCGGAAATCAACACATCATCTTCTGCCTCAGTTATAAAATACCGTTACTGAAATATGAAAAATAGGTTAATGTTTTGTAAGTTCTAAAAATGTAGGACTAAGATCACAATGAATGAACAGCTTATCACTTTTATAGTGTCGTCCTTTTTTGTAAGATATTTTGTCATAAGGGTTAAAATACTTCGAAATTAACCAAGTAACAAACCCTGTTTCATTATAACTTTATTCACGAAAAAAACACATCAATACTTGAAAATACGATAATTCCTACTTTTTACTTGCACTGTGATGTCACAGTGCTATATTGTTATTAATTCGACAGATATGATTAAAGCTATAGAAATGAGTTATAACAAACATGTGAAACTTAGTGGTTGATCCCTTTCACCATATTTATCTGAAATATTTTAATAGACATAATTTAACTGTTTGGGACCTCGCATAGTCTGATGGTTAGAGTGCTCGACTCGTAAGTTGTGGGTCACGGGATCAAAACACAGTGACGAACAACCTCGCCCTTTCAACCATAAAGGCATTATGATGTCGTGGGAAATCCCACTATTCGTTGGTAAAATAGTAGACCAAAAGTTGGCAGCAGATGCTGCCAGCTGGTTACCTACCCTTTGGTCGGCATTTCAAAACTAGAGATGGTATTAGTTAATCTAAGTAGTTTTGCCTTAAAACAAAACAAGCAAAGCAACTACTTATATTTTTATTGAGGATAATGTTTCCCTCTGCCAGCGCTGGGCTTTTTAATAAAATAAGGTCATTAAACAAATCCTTAACAGGAGAATGAAGCCCGTTAAAACCTTTCAAACTAGCCATAACTCTTCACATGTTTTTATAAGTAGTTATAACGTAATATATGCGTTATCAGAACATCTTGACGTAGTAATAGTGGTAGTAGTAGTAGAAAAACATAAATTCTCTACGAACCACTACCTAAGTATTATATTTAAAAACATTAATGATAAAAGCAAAATAAAACTGTTACCTTGGAAAGGATACGACACTTACCAGCTCGAATAGATGCATTATGCTATTTTGTAGCTAAGCTACGTTTTACGCTCTGTTTATAGCTGAGGTAGCTCACTACACTATATTGTAGCTGTTCTAGGTTCGTTACATTGTTGTATAGCTGCACTACGTTTACGACACTGTTTTGTATCTGTACTTTGTAGATGTTCTATTTTACTATATCGTGGTACATATGGGTTACTTTCGTTACAATATCTGGTAGCTGAGCTAGGTTAAATATACCGTTTTCCAGCTGTGTGCTACGTTCACTACAGTGCTTTGTAGCTGTTTTGGGTTAGTCATTCTGATTTATGTGCTAGAGTCGCACATTTTATGGTACGTAGGCTCACAAGATCGTTTTACAATTTTCGTAGGTTCGCTTTGATAGATTAATTACAGTCTTTGGGGTTATTATAGGTTCAATACATTGTTGTGATTGTGTTAGGTTCAATGCAGTGTTTGATAGCTATGGTAGGTTAAATACGCTGTTTTAATAAGTGCGGTACGTTTTCTATATGTTTTGTAACTGTGATAAGTTAACTCTACTGTGTAGGATTGTGGCAGATTAACTTTGTGGTTGTGGTTGTTTCGCTACAAATGTTTAGCTGTAATGGGTTAACAACACTGTTTATGGTTATGGTATTTTCAATAAACCATTTTAAAATTATGGTAGATCCACTACCTAATTTAAAAGTTGTATGTACCTTTAATTAGAAACCGAAAAATTAATATGTAAAAATCAATAATAGAAATTAAGATATATATGTTCTTACCCATGAATACTTAATACAGCAAAAGTCAGTTCCTCTTATACTGACTTAGTATAATGATAAGATTACTTTGTAGAAATATGTTATTGTATGTACATTAATAACTTCAAATTATATATATATATATATATATATTATAAGATTCAGTTTGTAATTAATAACATCGTTTAATTCATTCAGATTACTCTCTATTTACATAAAGGATTCTTATTTTAAAGCAGCCAATCATGTATTTTGCCAGAGGAATAAAATATACTGTGAAAAAACCCTAAAGAAAATAAAAGAATAGAGTAATAAAATACAATACCAACCAACGAGAAAATATCGTTTACTTACGATGAACAGTAAGATATATAAGTTTTCTGAGGTCTGTGCCAATGCCATTATTAGCTTCGCAAATGTAGAACCCTTTTTCACGGTCACTAACTCGATGGATTTGTAGCGACCCATTGGAAAAGATGTTGTATTTATGGCTGTTGTAGATCGGGATGTAATCCGCTGAGGAAGATTCTGTAAAAACAACGATTTTTTACGACGAAGTTTTGTGAATGGCTTAAAGATAGGGATTCTGGATGTTTTAAACAGGATACATTTAGATATTTTTTGTAGCAAAAATATTAAAGATATTACTAATCGTGATAGAATAAAAAATATTGAATTATCGCAGTTAAAAAATAAATAACATAGACTTCCGCGGCTGAGTTGATTTGCTGACAAGCTCTCCAGAAATAGGGGATTCATGTTTGAATGTTAGAAGCTCTCCAAAAATAGGGGATTCATGTTTGAATGTTAGAAGCTCTCCTGAAATAGGCGATTCATGTTTGAATGTTAGAAGCTCTCCAAAAATAGGGGATTCATGTTTGAATGTTAGAAGCTCTCCTGAAATAGGGGATTCATGTTTGAATGTTAGAAGCTCTCCTGAAATAGGGGATTCATGTTTGAATGTTAGAAGCTCTCCTGAAATAGGCGATTCATGTTTGAATGTTAACCGAGAAGCTCTCCTGAAATAGGCGATTTATGCTTAAATGTTAACAGATGCTGAACTAAGAAAAAAAAAGAAAGAAGATAATCTATTATGATACTCAGAAGGAATTAACTTCTAAGCTTACTATATGTTTAAAAAGTTATATTTCTTGTAATTCATAAACTAGAAACTAAGGCAGTTATTTATCTTGGTTTTAAATATTACGCTCATTAAATGTAAACCCAGATATCCACCAGTGTAAAATTTTCTTAAAGTGTTATTATGCTAGAATTATTTTTCTAAAAAAGTGAAAACTGAAACCAAATGAGATTCGAACTCATAGTTTGATTATCTCATTTTAAATAATAAAACTCACAGTTTTGAGTTCCTAAGTTATTTAGAGATCAATATGAAAAATGTATTTTTTAACTACTCCATTATGTTTGTAAAGTTCATAGCTTGTTTATTTAGAGATCAATATGAAAAATGTATTTTTTAACTACTCCATTATGTTTGTAAAGTTCATAGCTTGTTTATTTAGAGATCAATATGAAAAAT